TACGGTTTGAGAGATTTCAGTTTATTTGATTTACGTGTTTACGGTAGCTCTGAGCGGGACTCGAACCCACTGTCTTTTCAAGCTAATTTTGTTTTATTTTGATGGCACGCTTGTGTACCACGCCACGACGTTGGTCGTTAAGTGGTGTTCATTTTTCTAACTACTCTAGTGTTCCGATGAGTTGAACGGAAAAGCCAAAACGATTGCTGGTTTCTGATTGCTTCGGTTCTGGTGAGTGTGTATGTAGTGTGATTCGAACCCATGTCGTTTGTATTGGGCGTTTTTTTATTTCCCATGGTAGCTACGCCGTAATATGCAACCACTTCCCCGTTTTATTGTGATTTTGAGTGTTTAATGATGTCTTCCTCACCCGTCACGCCATGACCCAGTTTCAACCACACGGCCATTTTGCAACACAGTTCGTGACCCTCGGCGTCACCCGACTGACTATATGAGCGTTCTCTTCAACTTTTAAGCTAGGATTTATTACCGTTATTATCATTATATTGTCACGTGATTTGTTTTACCTTATGTGTAATGTCTTAAGTATCTTTATTGTAATTTGTATATACCAATTCGTATATACCGAGGAAACGACCCCGATTGAAGGTCATGTATTTTATGACGTCACCAATTCGTGTGTAGGTACTGCTTCTAGATCTGTGCCGTCTGTTGTAATGTCTGCTATAATGCCCTGGATTTCAACATGGGAAGAAAAAATGAAAAAGCCAGCCTTGTTATATTATAAAATTATAAAACGTGGTACATGTACATCATATATCCATTTGATCCTATGGTAATATGCACCTTTCATCATTAGTCCCTGTTTGGGACAAAGTCAGAAAGCAGGAACTATTAGTTTGGGCATGGAGCTTAAAGCTCCATGGTTTGGGGTGCATCTGTGTTTCCGTTCTGAGCCATTTCCCATACATGTCGTGACCAAGCTTAACATAAAGATAATGTATGATGACTTACATGTGCACATCTATTTTTATGACAATTTGATCAAATATGGCCGACTGGTGGCAATTTGACAAAAAATTTGCTAATACTTAAAGATGTCCAGAAATGTTTCTCGGAGATGGACAGGTCAATTTCATTCAAACATTGTATCATGATCATGCATATTGGGTTACAGGTGCAAATCAATATGTTTTTGAGTTTCAAACAAAAATGGCCGAATGGTGCTATTCTGTGCTGATTCCAGTCTAATACATCATCAACTAATAGAATATATATTTATAACATACAAATTATATAAAAATTACTATCTAAAGCACGACAATGGTTTAAAAAACAACAACTACAATTATAAAAACTGGTGATAATAATACAAATAAAAAAAGCAATATACGAGGCAGTTCACTGCATACACACTTGCAGCAACAAGATACAAGATAGTCTAGTGCTCGAACTACATTCAGGACATCATTTCAGGATTAAAATGTCCATTTGATTTTACATTAAAGACATAGATGTTTTATACACTGTACAACCTTGGTGTGGGGGTGCAGGGGTACAGTCCAGGTTTGTTGAGTTGCCGAATGCACTATATTTATACAATATGAAACAAAATCACGAAAAATGTCTGTTACAGTCCATGCATCACCATTTAGAATTCTATTGCTAAACGTGTAATATATTAATAGATAAAATGTGCACTGCAACTTTGTTGTTTTGCAGTCTGATTAATTTTTCAGTAGTTTTGCACAAAGTCGTTGTTTCTCTGATAAAGCTCACATTATTTGTTTGAATTCAGTGTAATGCTGACATTTGATTGCTCATTACATTTTCAACTCATTGAACCAAATAATCCCCATAATTGTGAATCTCAACTAGTGATGGACTTTGTATTATCTAATACTGAATGGGAACTGTACATTCTCAATGCTTGTTTAGCTGCAAGGATATAATGCACTCATAATAGCAATGAATGCTAGGTTATGAGAATTACATCCATTATTTTGAATTTATTGTACAGAGATCCTTCATTGCATGACATAATATGAGGTTATTATGAAGATACCAAAAAGTATGCACGAAGTCAGTACAACGAGAGTATCGACCTCCGCACAGCAGAGGCCGATGCAACAGCGTACTGTCTGAGTGCATACTTTGAGGTTTCCTCGTAATAACCTTATTAATATACATCCTCCCAAGGATACGTCATGGAAATGCCGAAATCCAAAAAGTTTAGAACAGATTTAGCGAACTTCTTTGTGTGGTGTCCGGTCAAACCCTGGTGGCAGCCATGTTTGTTTTTATTATTAGAGGACCCTCACACGTGTAATCGCTCCATATTTGGAATTCACCTTTCCTAATATGGTAGGATGAAAATACCCAATGCAATACCGAAAAATTACGACACACTGTAACTTATGGAGTTACGGATGACAGATGTATAATAATACTTCTTATATATTCAAAATTGCTTTTTGTAGGATATTGATGATGTTATCAAGCGAGCTAAAGAGGTAAGCTTTACTAATGTATGAATCATACTGGTAAACATGAATATACATGTAAATATAAAGCCAGAAAAATTATTGGGATTTTGACAACATGTCATTTATCAACATGGTCATACTTTGTATAGGACACTGAACCTGATATTGCATGCCAGTTTTGAGTATCATAAAATCACTAATGTTGGGCAGCTCACATGATTTTATCACATTGGCTAAAATCTTACATGATCTTGCATCATTCTGCCAACAAATTTGGGGATTGGCTGCTGTGCAATGTCAATGTTTCATCTCAAAAAACACTTTGAATAGTTGATTTTATGTTCACTGTGAGATATTACGTGCAGACCAGATGGCTGCCACAAAAATCAAACGATTTGATTTTAAACTTGAATGTCTCTTTTTTTTTATCATTCAATATGGGGAATATGGCATTGGCATTGAAATACCCAAAAAATACTTTAGTGTTTGTTGAATCCCTCTTGATATTGTGACGTCGCTACAGCCTTTGTTTATCCTGTTTTTACATTTAAAGTCGTGCATAATGAGAATAAAGCTAAAATGAATCTTTCTATGATTGTCCAATTTCACAAAGATATGTGGAACCCATTCTCACTGGTCAGCTGTTCCTCAAATCACACAACTTTGGTTATTGGGATTTGCTATATTATGAATATATAGAGTAAACTAAAACACTGTTAAAAGAAAACACTATATGTGTAAAATAACTACCCTATTAAACTCTAACAGAATAAAGTAGCAGGAATAGTTGCTGTTGCTGAATTTTTCCCAGAATTTGAGAAAATCATAGAGTTATCTGAAAAATATGAAGGCTTTATATTTCCATCTCTTGGATTACACCCAGTGCAAGTAAGTTAAATATTCATATACATTTTGTTTTGTGTGTGTCCATATGCATTTCTCAATCATTTGGCCACCTTTTTTAGTCCCCGTTCGGACGAAGTCCGAAAACGGGGACTTATAATTCGGTCTCCGTTCGTGCGTCTGTGTGTCCGTCCAGAGTCATATCTCAGAATCCCTTGAACCGATTTCGTTCATTCTTTGCATGTGCCTAGTACTTTATGTGGGACATATGCACATGCAGTGGTTTAGCGATTCGATTCAAAATGGCCAACTGGCAGCCATCTTGTTTTTTGAAAATGTTGCATTTTGGACATGCTTTGTCAGTTTTCATTCAAGCTTGGTACATAGATTATACATGTTAGGATACATGTCCATGACGATTTATTTCACAATTGGATCAAAGATGGCTGACTGGCAGCCATCTTGTTTTTTGAAAATGTTGTATTTTGGACATGCTTTGTCAGTTTTCATTCAAATTTAATGCATAGATCATACATGTTAGGATACATGTCCATGACGATTTATTTCGCAATTGGATCAAAGATGGTCGACTGTTAGGCATCTTGTTTTGTTTTTTTATGTGGTATCTTGGACGTGCTCTGTCAGTTTTCATTCAAATTTGGCACATACATGTACTTTATACATGTTAGGATGCATGTCCATGACAATTTGTTTCAAAATCTGGTCAAGGATGGCCGATTGACAGCCATCTGACTTTTTGGCCTTACTACTATATTTCCACAATTTATGTACCATTTTCATTCGTATTTGGCACATACATCATACATATCAGTGTGTTTCATAATCAGATCAAAGATGGCTGAATAATAGCTGTTTTTATTTTTGGCCATATTACTTCTACACGGAACACGTGTTTTGATGTAAATAAACAATCTGTTGTATACGCCACTTGGAACTAAAGTTTCAAGGACACGCTCGCGACAACCTCCACTTTATTATGACGAGCTCAAAGAGAACTTTCAAAAATTTAACAAGGACTGTGTCATTTTCAATGACTTGTTATCTATTCAAATTTGTCCTTCAATTTTCTCTAGTGTTGTGAACTAGCCATGTTTCCAATATTAATTTCAATTTGATTTGAAGGTCATGCTGTTATAGGGATATTGATTCACAATTATTTTGTGATGTAATCCAGCATTACTGTCTGGCAGCCTAATAAGTCATATTTCAGTATTCCAATATACTACATTGTATAAATGCAGCTGATAATTTACATGTGTTCCTATTGAGAGATGTGCTTCCAATAGAACAAATACGGTACCTTTATTTCTCAGAGATTTCTTGTTTCACTGGATTTGATTTACATCGATTCATTCCTTCAGTTATCATTGACTTGATTTGTATTGTGTATTGTTGGTTTTATTTGAAGGGAGATAAAGTAGATGATGGACGATGTGGAGCAAGGTTGTCCCAGTTAGATGAAGCCATGCCAGTGATAGAAAAATATGCACATCGACTCATTGGAATTGGTGAGGTATGATTATGTGTACAATAACCTTGCTCATTTGTGGACTAAAGCATTCTGTTTGAACAAACAATTAATATTTGTCAATAATTTTTGTATTGTATTGTTGATGATATAACTGCTACACTACCAAAAATAATTCTGAAAATAATTATTATAATAATAATAATCAGAAGTTTTCATAACTAAATAAATTCTATAACAGATTATAGTGTGGATTTTAAGTTCATTTCTACTCTAGATTGGTTTGGATTTCACTCCCTGGTATGTTAAATTGGCAGAAGATAAAGCTGAACAGAGAGAAGTTTTCAAACGGCAAATAGAGCTGGCTAAAAGACTTGATTTACCAGTGTGAGTCAAGAAATACTTGTATTTAATTGGAGTTGGTTTTGGGTGCATATATTAGTTTTTACATCTTAAAATCCAACCTAAATACATGCTCAATTCTAATTATTGTAAACCTGTTTTTGCCTGAATAGTGATGGAGGACTGGTAATCAGTGCAAAGAAATTACCCAGCATTAAATATACTAAATATGCTTTGTTTGTCTTAATATTTTCTGGTCTTGGGTCAGACCTAAAAATTAAATTGCTCAGCGAATTTGCTTGTAAAATTTCCTATTTTTTTTTTATTTTGAAAAATCTGTATAACATTTTGTCAAATTGATCATTTGTGACACTGTTCTGAAATACAGAAATATGGGATCTGAAATTGTGCGATAAAGTGTGGTGAAAATATACTTTTTTCAGTGCATTTTTGGTCTTACCCTTTTGAAAACAATCCTGTGTTAACATTGTGGTATTTGTTGCAGGTTATTAGAAGTTGCAAAAACAAATCTCTTCTTAAATTGTATAAAAAAATGCTTACTGCCCTTGGATTTTCACTTGAAAAACATGCTACAATAGTGTTAAATTTTGTACTGATATATGGCTTCAGTTAAAACTGGAGTTTTTGATGAGAATTAATAGAGGTTATTCTTTTAAAACGGTAAACCGATAAAAATACTGTTGATAATTTTTACCATAATCTTTGATCATTTGCAGTAATGTTCACTCCAGGTCAGCAGGAAGACCAGTTATCAACTTTCTTAAAGAAAATGGTGAGTACACGTATTGAATAAATATAATCACTTTCACCATGTCAATGCATTTAGAGAATTACAGCAAGTCTCAGAAGTATTGGGGCAGCCAATTTGCAAACTCGCTAGCTAATTGGCTAACTTTGTTTTGACTAAATGGTTGGCTTTCGAATCTCGCTGGAGTCATCTTGTGGTCATGCCCACTTAAGGCAAATCTATGTAACAGTAGGGGACAATCCTCGTACTTTAGGAGCTATTCAGCGACGGTCTTACAGTTGGATGGCGATTTCGCTTTCAAATATACCAGGAAAAGTGTTCTATGCTTTTCGTGTTCACACAAAAACGACGAATGAGTTTGATTTTTCCAGCGGGTGGCTTGATGTTACCCCAACGGATTGTTTGAGTGTGAAAGTTTGTTATTTTCTCCCTGATTTGTAGGAAACTGTTTCTCAACTTATCTATTTAGTTTCAAGCAGTGTTCAAGATGGTTACCCTCATATAATAAATTTCGGGCTCAAATCATTCAGGAGAATCCAGACATGTACCAGGCTGCGTAAAAATATTCTATGTCCCCTAATGCAATATAGACTCGCCAAGAGTGGACGTGATCACAAGTCGGCGCCAGCGAAATTCGAAAGCCAACCGTTTAGTCAAAACCTAAGCAGTTAGCAAGTGAGTTTGCAAATTGGCTGCCCCAATACTTGTGAGGCTTGCTGTAATACATCAATTCCACGATTCCTTATGGGGTGGTTATTGATTTTATCTTTCTAGAATCACTACACATACTGTACTGTTTTTTTAATCCATCCTATAATCATGCTTTGAGTCTTGCAGGTGCCGAGAAAGTCCTTCTTCATGCATTTGATGGTAAAGTGTCGGTTGCTATGCTTGGTGTCGAGTCGGGTTATTATTTCTCAGTCCCGCCCTCAATAGTTCGCAGTGAACAGGTGAGAATTAATTGGAAAATGTGGAAGTAAATATAAAAATGAATGTGATTTCAATCATTACATCTTGATTTACAGTGTTACCATTGTATAGTTTAATTTAGTTTTGTTTATCATTCCAGAAACAACGTCTAGTAAAAGCCATTCCTCTGGATAATTTACTTTTAGAAACAGATTCCCCGGCTTTGGGTCCTGAGAAACAGGTTAGTTTTGGCAGTTTGTAACTTTCATCAATTCTTTCTTCCCTGACATCTCCCATAATTTTTTTAAGGTAAAACCTAGCATTTTTTAATAACATTAATCTACATTTGTAGTTGTGTCTTAAAGATACACTGCACAATACATCATATTTTAATCGGATTGGGCCCAAATCTGCTTGTTTTTCATGTTAAATAGTTCAGTAAATGCATTATAGTTTGACATCCTATTCACTATTTCAAAAGGTTTTATTTTCCATGAACTCATAGGAAAGGTGATGCTCACCACTAGAGGGGGCTAGTTATTAAACAAGTTGTGTTGTGTCAGATGTCATCCAAATTTGAAGCAGCATGACCATTTATTACAATATGTATAATTCATTGCTATAGCAACACATTCTTACTTTTCATTCACAACAGGAAAGAAATGAACCAATGAATATTAGAATATCTTGTGAAATGGTTGCCAAGATAAAAGATGTTACCATGGAAACAGTGATGAAAAAGACGACAGAAAATGCTCTGAAATTATTTCCCAAAATTAAATTGTTTTTGAAAAGGTGATATAAATAAAGCACAAACTGTCTCAAAGTTGTTTTTCTATTTTATGTCAAAACTGATACTTCTACTGTAAATGGCTAATTACCTAATTACTTGCTGGGCTGATTGTTAATATGCCAAATTTACTATAATGTATTGTTTCCTTCAAATCGAGTGATTTGAAACCTAGTGAATATCTATGAAACTTCAAAGCTGCTGAAATTAAACCTGGGGTCTGATTATCATTGTAATAGCGCCCTCTATAGTTTTCATTTAGATACGTCTGTGTTCTCTCTGTATTACTGTAGAATATTTTATTTTCGCTTGGAATTTATTTTCGCTATTTTCGCTGAAGGGATGATTCCGTGAAAATAAAATCCAGCCAATATACTTTTTTTCCTATATTTCACATTAATCTCATCAAAAATCAGTGAAAATAAATTCCAAGCAAAATGCCCAAAAAGCCTTTTCAGCGAAAATTAATTCCAGCGAAAATAAAGTATTCCACAGTATTTCGAGTGAAAAAAAACATCTGGTATAAAATTATCAGAAAAAAGTATTGATATTTTATAAGATGAATGAATTTTTTTAGAACCCTTCATTTAAGCCACTTTTTTTTTAAACAGAAACCCAGTTAAACTGACTGGAGCTCATACTTAATCATTTTAATTTACAACAAATTATAGTTATTCCCACCTTACACTTTTTAATTGTACAGTCTAACCAACAAACAAACAAATGTTTGCTTATTTTGAAGTCGGGATAAATTAAATGTAGGACAGTCTGTTTGATGATGCAGTATTGATTGCAAAACCATTCCCTCAGTTAATCTTTCACTTATAATTATTTTGTCATTAGTGTTGCCCTGGTGATGAACAATAAACCAGAGTTCACCTCAAAACCATAAAAAATATCTTGTTTACATTTTAATATCAAATTATTTTTTAAATCTAAAACATTTTTTAAATAAGTAAAAGCTACAATGGTTTATAAACCTTGTCTAATGTCTCAAGGGTAGATTTTCCATTGTATCTTGTATTAAATCAATAATCTAGATAGTGACGCAGATTCTACCAACTAGATCTATATTCTTGAATATTTGTTATCAATGAAAGGGATATCGGCAAAGTATATGCAATAAATTTTTAAAAATGTATATTTTTTGACAATGTATGTAAAAAAAATGTTTGCATTTGGTTGTATTTTTTCAGAGGATTTTTAATTTTATTGGGTAAATCAACTGTTCAGTTTGGGACTAAATTCCAGAAAAAGCCGCTGTAACTACTACAAAATTTTTAAGTTTTTTCAAAATTTATGGTACCGGTATGTCATAAATTACTAGCCTCACAATAATTTCGTCATTTATTGTGCTTCCCCTACCTTGTATGGCAGGTGAAATAAAGAACTGAGTAGTCAGACAATATTCCTGACAACCAATTAATTATTGCAGCTTTAATGGCCGACAATGACAATACCAAGTGCAAGTACTGTGAATACATTATGGCAAGTTGTTGGTTGCCTGTGCTTGATACCTGACAACAGCAATGCCCGAACGTCCATTTTATTATTGGTCAATGTAATGAAGAGCTTTATGGTATTAAAACAACCTTAACAAAATAAATGCCACCTTCCATACACAGAAATCAACTTTTTATTGTTTGGTTAGCAAGTTCAATAGCACTTGCATACAGGTCTGACTGAATGCATTTACTGTGTTTCTTGCTTTCAATGCAGTGTGCTTTCTATTCATGTTAGCAGCAGGTCTTTGTGTTTAACTATTCAATGTATTGACAGCAAATAATGCTACATAAATAAAGGCCCAACAGGTAGCACAACTGTCATGGTGAAAACGTACCAGTATGACCAGCGGCATTTAGTTTAATTGGATTTATTTTTATTGTGCCATTCCCTCAAGAGAATGTATGCATTACTGAATCACTGCATTCTTTAGAAACTGTTATTAATTTCCGGGATGAAAAAATTGTTTTTTTTTTTTCTCCCCCTTTTTCAATAGAGCAGTATTTGCACAATACCTGCCTACAAACTGATATCTGTAGCAAATGTAGAATTTGTTTAATTTTTTGAAATGTTTCGAGGAAAATTAACATTTTCATACAATGTCTCTGATTCTTATGGACGAGATAATTTTACATTGACTACCAGTCTGGATCTAAATTCTTATGTAAGTTTATTATTTTAAAAGGTGATGGACGGAATTTGTCTGAAAATAAACGACCCAACAAAAGACAGTTATACAAGTGGTAAATAATTTATTCACTTCAAGTCAATTCATCAAACCAACTCAAGCAGAATGAAAGCCTCATTAAAAATTCATGGACGGATTCAAAGACAGCTAGTCTGTAACAAACACGGGCAGTGGAGTAAAAATAAGCGCCACTAATACTGAAAAAAAAAATCCGAAATAATTGTAATATTTAATTCAGTTTGAACTTTTCAGGTTAAAGTTATTGCATAGTTTAATTGCTGTAAAAAATTCAAACTTCATAAATTCTTGTTCCATCTTTCATACGTAGTCAGTAATGCCGAGAACTCGTCTATATACGCAGGTGGCTATGATCTGTAAAAGAATGAAAACGTTGGATGAATACATTGTTCATGCATGGAGCTCCATGGTCATGTAAGACACGGCACTCCCGATAGCTGAGTCAAATGGCGGTTTCCCGGTGACACGACACATAATTTTACGACATGAAGTGATAGACTGTGTTGTTTTTGGACGTGTCAATATGAAAATAATTGTTTATTTTGCTACGTAGAAGAGTCCACTTGGAATTTGACCCGAGATACATACCAGCACGTAACAACTCAACTGCCCAAAGGTCTGCGTACATGTCCAGTCTGTTTATTTTATAGACCGATAGGAAGTCAACTCTACACTCTATTGACGTCTTGTTTCAATGTTTGTGTAGTTTTGTACGTATGTCGCCTTAAGGTGCAGTCTAGCGTAACTAGATAAGAACAGCCATGTAATACGAATACTGACCCTGAAACGTTTATGAATACGTAGTTCTGGGGGTCCCGTTCCCCCTCTAAATAAAGTCTAAGAACGAACATGTTTTATCAAATTAATGCAAGCAGCCCAGGCACACATGTATCACGGGGCTTGACAATCGGCTTCAATTTTCAAAATCGAACACTGAAAAAACAGTGGTACGAAAGACCTTGGAGCTTTCTACTTACAAGATTTATTAGGAAAATGTCTTCTTTCTCGATGGGTTGCCATGTCCGGTGTAAACGTACATCTGGATTCACTGTCTTGCTTCTTTTCCGATTCGAAGACTTTGCTCTTGAACGCCTCTTGATCGTGCTTTCTCTCTGCCCGGAGCCATGCTTGTCTGCTGTTACGTTCCACGGCACACCAAGACTCCCGCTGCATATTCTGTTCGTAAATAGCTTGAGGATCCATGCTTTTAAAATGTTTCACAGTAAATGAAGTCAATCTAATACCACGAACCAAGATGTCTCTGGGGACACTCTAAAGTCAGTAAACTTTTATGTTATTGATGACCCGATATATACGTACGAATCATCGACGTCTCACGCACAAATTGTTTACTGTATCGAATCGCGTTCCCATAGCAACGACGCACTACTTGTTAACTTAAACAGCACAGACCGCCACATTAGTGAAAATCAATACAAATGTCGACGCTGCTTTGTCAAATGACAACTATTTCCTGTTACTATTTAATTTGTTCTCCAAATTTGCTACTTGTAGTGCTATAGTATAAAGTCGGATGAATATTTATTATGTAATGGAGAAGCAATCCGGTCTTTGTTTCACAACGTTTGTTTATGGTGTTCGCCCACAAGGGCGCACTTTTTAGCACGCGTTCGACTTGATTCTCCACGAAAAACGTAGTATTACATGCGCTTTCAAAATATTGAATTGTATTTGCTTTATGGCTGATATTTATTTACAAATTAACAGGTGTGGGTAATAAACAGTTCTGAAGTCTTTATAGAGAAATGACAGGAACAAATCAGCTATCCATTGCTTTAGAGTTTCACCATACAAGTTTCTATTGTTAATGGTTCCTATTGTTCTTTAAATGACGCCAATGCACAATGCCCTCGTTGATTGGCTGGTTGGATTGAACTTCCATTGACATTTATGAATATTTATACGAATATATCCAAGAGACCTCTACCAAATATAATTAGAACAGAAATAGGAACTCTAACAGTGATAAAATCACAAAACTTTATAAATACATTTCGAATGAAATTGGATAGCTCTTGTATCACTAGCAATGGAAATTTCCATGCCATTTGTTCTGTTTTGACTGATTTATATCAAACAAATGAATTATTAATAACACTAGAAAGAAAACTGGAAAAAATAAATTTAGAATATATAGAAGATGAAATTCATTTTATTACAACCTGTGACAATCATAACAACGCGCAAAAATGTATAGCCATTTCTCGAAACAACTTCTAGACTTTCAATACCTATCTAAGACAAATTTATTACAATAATGAACACTGACGACATACACCTGATCAGACAGATAGTTATTTAAAAACTTCATTTAGTAAACAGTACTTTTATAGATCTGTTGTCTTTATTGTCTTGTATTCTACTTTTCTATACTTTATTACTTAAGATGAACTGTTATTATTCATTACAGTGTAATAAGGATATTATAATACAAACTATTTGAAGGCTTCAAATTTGAACAATATTCTAGATATTAGAAATGTAACAGGAAACTACAAAATTATTAATTTAAAGAGATGATGCAAGACTGGGATAGAAGACGAGATGCATTACTGGAATTGTTCTACAGTATTGAAGTTGATAATACTAACAGAAAATATACATAGTGTAACAGCTAAAAAAATTATTTAATTATTATGCAAATTAGGGATTTAATATATTGAGATTGCAGCTGCAAATCAAGCATGAATGTTGATAATACTAAATTGAAATTTAGCTGTTTAGCAGCTACCAATTGGCTATGTGAATTAAGTAAACTAATCAGACTGTTTTTTTCAATAAAATAAAATATTATGCGATTGTATATATGGCGAAAGTTGGGTTACCACAAAGACAAACAAACAAGAGACTGTATGCAAGTCTATAATCATATATATATTTCAAATAAAAGCACTTATCCACCAAGTTTCATTAAAATCTGAAGTCTTTTTTGAGATATCTTTAGAACAGCTAAAAATTAGCTACTGGTACTTTATTGATTAACATCTGTGGATTTAAAGCCAGAACTAATCACATCAGTTGAGTATTCACAGCACCTATATCCATGGACCCCATGTATCAAGTTGAATAGTTTTTGGGATACCAGTAAAACAACTGAACATTGAATTGTTATGCAAATTAAATCATTAATATGCATAGATTTTAACTCAAAACTGACCAGATTTGTGCATTGTCTTAGAGCATCTATGTACAAAGTTAAATTGAAATCTGATAATGCTTCTTGAGATATCAGTGGAACAGAAACATACAGGGTAACCACAAAGACTCCCATTGTGTACTACACACATGGGAGTCAAAAAGACAGGTAGAAATTGCATAACAGGATATGAAACCCTCCTAAAGCTTGACTGTCCAGGACAGGCTTTTATAATTTGGTACTAAATCCAAAGTTTCACTTTAAAACCTAGCAACATTACCCCTTTTCACCACACGTATTGGAGACAGAAGGTGAATGCTCAATTTCTTCCCTCAGAACTGAAAAAAACATCCTCACATGCAGTCACCTTAAATTGAGTACTACAGTACATGTGTATTTCTGTGTTCATAAAAATTACACATTGATTTTCACCTTACAAGAAAGCCATCAGAGATGGCAAATCCCTAGGCATCTTTTTTCACAAGCACTGAGCTGATGTTTGTGCTCCAAATATATTTATGCATTTTTATGAGGTCACATGACCATATATGGTCATTAAATATGTTGATCAGATCTAGTGTACAATATCCATTTCCAATAGTATGGACATACAAATGCTGTTAACCACTATATCCGCTACCCGTACTACATGGCAGGGAATAATTTCACTGTCCCAATAATGAAATAATCAGCAAAATAAGACTTTTTAGATTTAAAATTAGATCACATCCAATTTCCAGATTTGCTTTATTAAAAGTGTTCATGCATGTAAAATACGACTCGTTTTGGCGAGACATAACTGTCATTTACATAAGTGCTACTATAAATAAATCAATAATGGTAAATATGGCCTTTAAAACATTGACTAAATACGACCCATTTGGAATTACATTCATGAGAGCTAATAGAACATTACCAAAGAACACTTGTCCTTTTCTGTATTAATTCAGTATTAGAGATATACTAAAACATTTTTCTTTTGATTCACATGCGCGTCACTCATTTACAAATAACTAATTTTTGAGTAAATATCAGAATTTACACATGTGCTGCCAAAACAGTGCCGATGTAAAACTGCGTCCTTTTTATCAGTGCGCATGTTATCATAGCATACTTCAATATTTCAGTTACCCACATTTTCGGCTGAGATGATGTCACTAAGACTTGAGCAACAGTATATCTAACTAGAAATTAAAAACAGACTAAGATACATTCATGTTTTAAATATTATATTGTTTTTATTACACTAATACGCACAAATCTGCAATCACATTATACCTATGTAGATCAAACATCTTTGTTGAAACAAACTGAATTTTGCGTATTATTTTAGCATACATACAAAAAATATCACATTCCAGTAGTTGGGTTCCTCAGTAAATATCACTTTTAGAAAGTAAAATCCCAACAAGAGTCAGAGCTAACATCAGTGTGATTATGGTGCCCATAGCTGATGAGTGTTTATATAGATAGTAATGAAAAACAAACATGACCTAGAAATTTGTCATATTAAATTGTAAAAATCCATTCTATCATTAGGATTGGTGGTGTAACCAACCATCCATGATTTCAGCTGAAGAGTCTCTTTACATGTTTTTTTTCACAAAAATGATATCTGTTTTGTAACATAATGCTATAGAAGAAATAATACAATCCTTTCTTCCATGCACACTATTAGGGCTACAGTACACCCTTTTTTTCCTACCACATTTGAAACCTAAACAGTATATTTATTATGTATATAGAAAAGTTAGCTGTAAAGCAATAATTTCTCAGAATTGTAAGTTTCAAACCATCAGACAATAAGAACAAACAGCTACCAATTTCAGTAGTTTGCAACAAAATTTTATTATTGACATATTTCCAGATACTTTTTATTAGTCCATCAATCGGTTAGAGAGGCTTTAGTCGTAAGACACAAACAATTATTGAAAGCATCCTTCCTGTTCAAAATATTCATAATTTTAGTTTTAAGACTAAACATTCATAGCCATTCACATAGCCTTACAGCACACATGTACAAAGTAGTTTCCGTGAACACACAGGTCAGGCTCTGTCAGCAACCCAATGCTCCTATTTCTAACAATAACACAATCTTCTAATAACATCTACTATATATCCCAATCAACTTAAAATATCTTGAATTGTGAAAGAATAAAAAAACAACCATTATTTACAAAACAAAAAAAAGATGATACACAACTTTAAAAGAACATAAAGGCTTTCAGCAATATTGCCTCTAAATTCTTGCTTGTTTTCATTTAAAAAATAAAATTTTTCTAAATCCCATCCAAATGCAATTCATGTTTAGTTATTCTCCCCCCTTTATGTAGTATATAAACTAGTTAAAATTTTTATAAAATAAATTTGAAATGCTTTCACAATTTATAATAGAACTTTAAATAAAAATGAGGCATTATTTCAAGCAACTCTAAAGCTCACAAAGCACAAGACAGCACATTGTTAATACAAAGCAAAGCTTTGCAACATCTTTCATTTTAACAGGTTATATTGAACACAACATAACTTCAGTGTTCACCTCAGCTAAAACAATAAAATTGTCCTAACTGGTCAATAACAATAACATATCTTTTGATGTATACAATTATTTAGTACCGGTAGTACAGTAAAATGAGGTGAGGTGAGGTGAGTGACACATAGCCCACAATAGGTACTGGACTGTTGACTCACTAATACTAGAAAGTAGGATTTCATTTACAGAATACTGGGAACCTACTCAGTAAATGCTGTAACAAACAGTAGAGGTGAACACATTCATTCAAGATTTTATGTGTGAAAATAAAGAATGAAGAGAAAAAAACAATGCTTTGGCACTGTAACCATAAACTTGTGCAGTCTGAGTGCTGTTCATTTGCATCTACATATAAACAAGATTTACTGTAACAATTTAAATGTAACAAACTCCATCTTTATTTTCTCATGATTATTCTGTGTATTAAATAAACATGATGCAAGAAACTGAGGGGTTAGCTTTTTTTCCTTGGCTTTATGGCAAATATACAATTTAAAACAATAAGTGAGAAAAAGAAAACATGCAAGAAATATATACATCTTTGTATCTCCAGTCTCTTGGCATCACCTTGTGCAAAATAACACATTACCTAACACCCCTGAACACAGACATCATGATACCCAACACTACAATACTGGTACATCCTTTCTGTTGGTTTGATCAGAGTTGTCATGGTTATCTGACAGTGTCTTGGGGTGGATTCACTATGTGCATTTCACAGATTTTAGCACCACATTTAAAACATAAAATGTTTGATGATAAATAATTTTTAAAATAGATACACATAATTTGGTACAGTTTTAAGTACACTGCATGTAGAGGGTGGTCACTATGGCAGCTTTATTGAAAACTACTCTACTATATTGCTAAGTAATTGCTATCGTTTCTTTGTGAAATTATTATTATTATTACTAAAATTCACCTGTAATTTACATTTTATACATTTGTCATTCAGTGTTCAGTGTTCAATGACTATTTTATATCACTATATTTTATTAAATATGAAATATGCAATATACACAAGTTTTGCATGGTGCCCCACAATGTATATTCATCTTCAATTCTGCTCACTCTTTGACAGCTATCAATTTTTTTTTCCACCAAAATTTCCTGATGGACTTTGATCAAAATATGGAAAAAAATGTTGACTTTGGTAGTCAAAAGCTGAATCTTTCTAAGTTTTCTGATGTTGCTTAATGTGGACAGGAGTACATATTGTGTTCTAACCAGTAAAATTACTGAAATTTGTTTTGAGTTTAATGCTGGGTTGCGCTGGTTGTTGTAAAACTTTGGGCTTGTGAGCGGCTGCCAAAGCTGCAGCTTTTTTGGCTGTGGCTTGATTAGCTCGAACAGCCGCTTCCAACTTGCTCTTCAAATCAGGTGCAGTGTTCATGATTGTTTTAAAGACTGTTGGGTACTGTGGGCCAATTTTCATCAGTCGCTGGAGGGAGTAGTCATGGAGCGAATGACCAAACTTTGTAGCACTCGGTAAAGTATTGGAGTCCAACAAAAAGGATATAAGCGTAGGCACAAGTAAGGCAGCAAGCTGAATTCCTGAAATGGAAATTAATACTAATGAAAACGAACGCTGATTATATTCACCAATACTTTAACACTGTGCTGGGTTTAACAACAAATAACTGCAGATTGCATGTCAAATTAAGTTAAACATTAAGGTGTTTCAATCCTAGAATAAATTTCAATGAAAATGACTCTTTAAAGAACTCTTATATTTATCAGTGAGTTCCAGAATCACTATAAATTGAAGATAATAAGACGTTCACTTACTGTAAGTTTCATCTGTGAGTGCAACCAAGTTTTCTAACCCCTTCAAAGCTTCTATGACTACAGTAAACTGATCTTCATGCGCAGCTTTATTGCTGCCAACTTGGTGTAAATATTCCACTATCTTCGGTCCAAGTGCATGGATAAATGGCGTACTCACTTCTCTTTGTGGATGCTGAATGATAGATGCTAATGTCTGTAGACATTTGATACGAACCTAAAACAAACAAAGTTTGTGACATTTAATTATAAAACAACAAGAGCTAAAGGTAAAACGCGAATGGTCATGATAGCTGATTCTAATTTTTACACTGGATGTCAATACTTACTACTTGTCTGTCAGATTTAAATGCCCGCACAAATAATTCAATACATTCAGATTGTATGGATGGTACTGTTGATACAGACGATGGCGCTGTCATGATAAACATGGCTACTGCTAACATAATACAACATTCATCAGTTTTATTCTTCTCTTTAGTATCTACACCTAAAGGCACAAAAACATTGTAATGACTATGATAACATATCCAATGACTATCAATGAGGTACCAGTATATAAAAAGTAAACTTCACCGCTAGAGGGCGCTATATCCATAATTGTACAGTGCAAGGCAGAGCTTTAAATCATCTTCTCCAACAGACTAGATGAATGGTAATATTAAGATCTCTATTTATCCAGAGTGAGTAAAAAAGTAAGAATAAAGAATTTTGAGTTCAGATTGTATAAATGACATACCTGGTTTAACAAAATCTAACAAAGTAGCGAGTGCACTCCGCAGTAAAGCTATCCAATCATCTGAACAGTGACTGTTTTGTGTGTATGGAGATGATGTTAATAATTTCAAAGATTGCAATGACGCTGCTACGGGTAATGGTACAGAATAATCTGACATGGATATCAGTGATGTCTCTCGTATCACACCGGTTGTTAGAAACAAGATTGTTGGAAGAATTGATACGCTACCTGTGAATGTAACAAATAAAATATGCAACAAGTTAGTCTTCTCTTTAATATATATCTTTGTTACCAGTCACTTAATACTAATCTCTCAGCAATATTTGCTTATCTATATGTTCTTTTATTATTTGTAATACCACTGACTAATGGGGTATACTTGTAAACCGTATTGACCACACTATTGTCGCATGGGACGCATCAAACACAACTTTACATATTGCTGTCTAAGACCATGAAATGTCATAAATGTTACTAACATTTGCACATATTACGATACACTGCAATGTCTTTGGGTGCCATTATGTCAATGTGATGGCCAGTAATTTAGTTTAACTTCAATGTTGTAATTCTAATGCAAAGGAAGTTGACTGCATTGAATAAAAGACCTCAGTAAAATGTTCACTAATAGAGACATTTGTCTCCAAAAATTCAACCAATTTTCATACAGTTATAATTAATTCAGCTAAATACACCAGAACTCATACAACAGAACTAAATACACCAACTCATAATTACTAATAAACTCACCAGCAGCGGAACATAAATCAGGTAACTTTGCCATAACAGACACAGCTCTTGACACCAATTGATTACTCTCTTCAGACAACTGTAAATTGGAAACTACATGTATATGGGTACTTGGCATGGATGGATTCAATGCTGGTAGTTGTCGTATTAAAACACATAGACATACTTCCAATACGGCAAACACTAACGATTGTCCAGGAATTATATCACCGTTCTCACCACCTTCCCCAAGAATCACATCTTTGCAACCATCACCACCTTGTTCTGGCAGGAAAAAAATAAAACATGTCTCTGATGTTAATGATTTTTATTTTTTTTAAATGAAAGGAAGAAAATTACATGCAATGATTTAATTAACAAACAAACAAACAAAGCATGGTACTGTTATACATCATGCTGCCATTTGTGAATTTCAGATGACAAAATAATTATTAACAGCAAACTTGGAAAATATGGAAATTCTTCTCCCTGCACCACTGTCATGCTTTATTAACCATTTTCATTCGGGAAGATAAATCTCCCTCAGTTGAAGTAAATAATTCTGTTCTATAAATTCCTTACTTTTCTCTGCTTTCATTTGTTCAAGGTTTTCCTCCATGGCTATTATGACTTGTTTTACCACATCCATGACTGCAAGTTGTGTGATTGGCATGTCTCTGGTTAACAACAGTCGATGTAACACATTAAGTAGTTCGATTGCTAAGGCCTGGTCTTTTCCCAGTTTAGTACGTGGCCAGGGAGTATCTAACATGGCATGGAGTGCCTTAAGACACATGGATACTGTCTCTATCGGTTCTGATGATCTAGGGTTGCACAGCGCTTCAACACATATACCTGTAAATACAACAAACATCTTTGTAATTTTTACTAATGTATCAGGAAATATTTCTTCACTATACTCCTGTCAACAACTGATGCTACAGCATTGTGGGGACTCTCCACACTCTGTTAACAAGGTCTACTGCAGCTAGCAATAGAGGGTGCTATATGTGATGATCACTGGATGGTGCTATTAGAGTCACTATATACACACCAGCATAAATTGTATAAGTGATTTGAAAACATACTTTGAATAAGATGAAATCTATCAGAATTGATTTCTTCAGGAGTTTTCTCAGCCTCTGCCATCACTGATGCTCCACCTCTTCCAGTCATGACTCTTGTACCATCATTATTACCAAATGAATTGCTTCTCTTGTCTTTTTTCTCTTTCTCCACATTAGCAAAACCTCTATCATTTAACCAGAGTGCTGCAGCATATAGCATAGGGGGCCATGAGTTCCTATAATGTGGCCTGGCATTTTCCATTGTCTCAGCATTGTAAAAAGCGCCCCCTTCAGGTGGGAGTTGACTAGAGTATTCTTGTGGAAGTGACAGCAATGCATGGTCTCTGAGGGCAGCTAACCAATGCTTGCTAAGTGATGCTAGTTCTGGTTGTACCAAAGTAAGTAAACTTTCAGTAGGTTTTTCCTCATCAAAGTCACCATTCATATCAGATAGTTGTGATTGTGATGGCGGTGTTTGATTCTGTTGCATTGCAACTATATACACCTAAGAATCAGAAAAAAACATAACCAAAATGAATTTAACAAATTCAAACTATGGTACAATTGCTCTTGTTATTAGTGCTAGAATAAGTAACAAACAGTGACCAATTAGGAATATTGTTACATACACCTAATGTATAAAACAGGCGGCTATAACCAGAACTAAATGTAATGATATTCATCATATCATAACTTACCTCAGCCCATGCTTTGAGCACGGCAAGTTTCTCCATAGTTGTAGCAGATTCGCTATATAACATTGATGGTGCACCTTTATTGCCAGTTTTTAATTTAGCTAACGATGACACCAGTAACTGATGAACACGTCTCAGGTCATTGAGGGTCAGCGCTACACCACTTCCTATCCATGTACTTGAGACCTAAACAGAGAGTACAGAATTCTCAATTTGTATAGAAATCACTCTTTAGATACACAGAGTATATGATTTCAGGTTATAAGCATGTACAATCAAATAGGTGGAGTTTGGGCACAGTGTAACAAGCATAGATTCAAAATGCTATAATAATATGGAATCATTGCATTTATTTGTACTATTTTATGTCTTCCCAACATTCTCCACTCAAGACATTATTACAGATGGATTATTAATAATATTCCATGATATCAGTAAGAGTAATTGTTACCTGGCATGCCATAGCTGTTACATCTGGTGGTGTATCTGGTGAAAATGCTGGTCTCAAAGCAGCACTGACCTGTGACAAAATATATCACAAATACATTAAGAATAGCTGGAAATTACAAAATATGATGTATGATGTACACCTTTTATTTATATGGATTAACATTCTGAATTACAATAGAAGTCAAGGTACATGCCATGCCATACCATGCCATGAAATGTAGAGTGGTGCTAGTGAAAGGATTTCAAGATAGTTTGCTGTGATTTCCTGACATCCCAGTGAATTTTTTCACACTCAAGGTTTTCTCTTTCCATTGCAAAAATCCAGGGAATAAAGTGCCTGTTGACTTTTAGAGAAAACACTGACTACTGAATAACTGTTGCATTCCAGTCTTATTGATGCTGGAAATATAAAGGTTTGATATGAGCAAAAATGCAACTCAAGCAATCCTTGTACCCATTACATTGTTACATTGTTACATACCTGGGCTTGAAACTGTTCTAAAATGAAATGACCAGGGAATTCAGGTTCAGGAACTTTGGCAAATTTATTAATGACATCCTGAAGTAATCGGAGACCTTCTTTTCTGAGTTGATCACTTTCACTTGTGGCTGCCATGAATGCCATACGTACAAGATCTGACAAGTGTAGTACTAAATAGTCACCTGTGAAGCGTGAGAAAACAAAGATTTGTAATAGTTTATATTTAGTAGTTTTAACCAAATTTGTTTAAAATCAGTTCTAAACTAAATATTTGGTCCCTGGAGATTGATATATACACATCATGTGAATTACTTTATTTTTGCTTCAAACCACATTTTTTTTTTTATTTTGCTTGATTGATTTTTTTATAAAAAAATGTAACATTTCTTTACAGTTTCAATAAAGCTCTATTCTATTTTATATAATTACCTGTACAGTAATTTATTTTCACTGTTTTATCATACATTAGGGGCAAACAATTATTTCGACTAGATACTATGTTTGCCCATCAATCCCACTCAGCAATAAATATATTCCAAGTGAAAATAAAGAATGAGTAAACCCCACAAATTAAGTCAACTCAGCCTAATGGCAGGACACTTAATCACAGTAATGATAACCTTGCCAAACATTGTGGTTTTGATCAAATGAAGTCACTGATTTATTACTATATGCCTTGAAAGCTTTTAGCAGAAACGTATGCAATTTACGTGTTCTTCCAAGCTAACAAAATTACACACAATAGCAGAATAGATTGGATCACTGATTTACCTTTAGCTGTACGTGATTTCATCTCTCTTGCCAGTGCCAGATTAAAATGTACAGTATTACCGTCACAGACGGAGATAATTCTTCTCACACACTCTGTTGCGAAGACTCTGGTTGGCCAGCGTGGTGCAACTACATAACAAAACACAATAATGATGAATTCTATGACTGCATATGTAAGTATATAAATATATGGTAGGCAAAAGAAACAAAAAAATTAAATATTCAACAGAGGACATAGCACATGTATATTGCCATATATTCATATGTATCAGAGAATTACCAACTTTGGCCTATGATAAATATTCATCGAATTGTGTAGCGTGCATTGAACACTGTATTTCACATTCACATTGTATATATCACATATATCACAACAATTGAGACACTTTCACATCTGGGATAACTATTATCTAATGAGTATTTCAGCTTTATAAAGTTTGTACAAATTTAAGGTACATGTATGCATGAAAATAGTGACCAGTTGTGAAGCTCACAAATCGTCCATAATACCATTTCTATGATTATAGATTCTATCAACAACAGGACATGGATGAGAATAAGCAATGCCATTCAAATTGACATCAGTGTCTTTTTGGTGTCATTTTTTTTATTAATAAATAACTACAGATCAAAACAATATCAACACTGAAGGCATTCTGGTCACCCATTTATGATACAGAAACGTTTCATCACTGGATTGCACAACTCATAGGAAAGATATATTAACTAATAATTTCCAGCCCTGTAAAAATTTGCATAATACCTGTAGGATGTGTAACTACTGCACCAAGAATTTTGAATGCTTGTTCAGATTCACCCATTTGCTCCACTTCTTTCTCATCCTTATCAGGGTCTGTTGGTTCCTCAATGGCTGGTGTTGTAGCTTTGCTGTCTGCATAGCAACACAATACAACACATCTCAATTAGTAAAATAATTCAATGAATATTTTGTGTATCTAAATAACTGAGGTGCACTGCAGAGGTAGAATTGGTCATTTAGTAAGAGATATTATTATTTTACCATATAATCTAATGCTATAACCTATTCTGTTTGTTCATACAAAAGCTTGATAGTTTTATATTCTACCTGAAATGTCAATATACTTTTAAAGAAGTGAAAGATACATTTTAAATGTTGTATTTTTTTATTTGCCCATTCCATGCTATTTTTAGAATTTAGACAATACAAACATATAGCGGGTAATAGGTCATTACCAAAAAGCCATACTCATCTGACTTAGCACACAGGGTGTTATTTTTAAAAGGTGGGTGCAGAGTTGAGCACCCTACCCATAAAACTACTAAGTGACATTTTCTGTTCACCATGTGCCAGTTTAGGAGGAAACAGTAGTGGGACACAATTCTCCTAGAATTTCTGAATATTGTGCAAGACATTTCTCTAACGCAATGCAGAAGTGAATTACTACTGTTGAAATATGATCCGTTTGCACAGATTTCATTGAAAAAAATGTAATTTTTTCAAAAAACTGGTGACACAATAGTGACAATAAGCACTGTAATTACTGGGAACAGTAAAACAAAATTTAATGAAGAATTCATGACTGGACAGTCACATTTGAAGTGTTTTTGAAAGAATGGACACTAAGTCAGGTCAAGTACAGCATGTAGAGACAGTAAAAAGTTGATTGATTAACACCAGACAGTGTGCTCTCTTACCTGTTGATGCTTGCTGTAACACATCTTTACATAATATCATCCAATGTGTGGAGTTCTCAGCTGCTAATTCTTGTAACATACTAATCAGAGTGTCATGGATATCTGATCTTAACTTGGAATCATTTTCTTTATCTAACATCTCAAATAAAACACCTTCCAATCCGGTCTCTATATGCATGAAAACAATCAATGTATTGTTTTAATTTAGACAGATATTGTGAATTACTATAATATCATATAGATGTAATCAGCATGCATGCATGCATATTTATTAGGAACTTAAGACATTGCCAGCCTAAGAACCATAGACCCAATAATAGTAATGTAGCTTTCACAGCATACCACATTTCGTCTATCATAAAATGAATCTCCATCCATGTGCTAAGAGGCTCATTTCAACAATGTAATAATAGAGTGAGAGTAGACATTCATAAGCATATTATGTATACGCATGTATATTTGTAGACCCATGTCACAATATTATAGTTTAAAACATCAGTGCAAACTTCAATAGTGCAGTTTAATTTTGCCACAATGCAGATGACGATGATCTGGTATTACTAGTATATTCCTCAGTAAAAGAACATGTTGAGCTAGAAGCACTGTGACAATAACCATACACTTAAGTTTATGAATTCAGCTGATTGCTACATGTGGTCTGAGCTAAGTATGTATTAACACCATGTAGTAGTACTGTACAAATTATTTGCTGATTTACCTGTCATTGTAATACTATCATTGTCATCTGAATTATCTTTTCCCATGGAAGGTTGTTTATTGTTACTTTCCACCACTAATGTCATTGCATGTTCACAGACTTCGCGGGCTTCACGTTGTGATAACTGTCGTAAACACGCCACTGCCGACAGCCTCAACAATAGATGAGGGCTCTTTAATGTTTTCTGTGAAGATATTGAATAAAACACTAAAAAATTAGAAAGTTCTGAACTCAATCATTTGTCAGTTATAAACAAAAGTATTGTACAAGATATATTAACTGTTATTATAGCCTGTATAATGAAAAGGATAGTCATAAATTGTGAGTATTAACTTACACAGAGGTGTGGTACAAGTGTAGATAAATTGACATGTCTAGGTGCAAACATGTGTAACTGTTGAAGGCAAGCAATAGCCTCAGCTCCAACTAATGAATCTGGATGGTCCTGCATTATAGCACAGCCTACCAGACATGATGACCGGCATGTAGACAGCGTTATGGTATTGGCTGAAATAAAACATCACAGGTAAAAGAATGTAATGAAGTAAAGTTAGTACACACAGTAAATATGCAAGAGATTATTACATATTAACTGATCAACCACTATGAGAGAATGTCTAAATGATTTTTTTGGTTATATCTGATGATTTACATTTTCCAATTTCCTGGCTACAACTAGGAAGTACATATACACATATATATTAATTGTGAAACTATGAATGAAATATGGAGTCGTTATTTTGGGTATGAACACTCTAGATAGAGTATATGTCTTACCTTGTAACTCAGGACCCAGTGTAGTTATGAGAGCGGCAAGACACCTCCCTAGACATTGATGGACTTCAACAGTAGCAGGTGGTACAGTCAATAACAATTGAAGACACAGTGACAAGGTTGGCTCCACATAACCACGGAACATTGGACCACCAGAATCTGCTATCAATGCAAGGGCATGCAGTGACCACACCTGAAATAGTACAGAAGTGTTAAACTGCAATTAAAATCTAGTATATGTAAAGATTATTTCATTTTATGTTTATGGAGTATTGATAGACACCTGTTATATATATAAATACACTCCAACATGTCATATTTTAATATGCAGTATACAGTAAATTTTGGGATGCATGTTCTAATCAGAGTGATCAATGACTGGAATTACTGACCTGTACTTGTGGTGATGTGATATCCTGTGCTAGTGCTAATAATATACTAACACTAGTATTAAGATGATGACCAGCACCCATACCACCCACATATCTGTGTAAACATCCCAATGCTAAAGAATTACCAGTACGAGATACCACATCACGAGCTGTCTTCAATCTGAAAACACATTACCCGGTACTTATCAATGAGTGTCAATTGTTAGTATGGGCAGATATCTGCGAGCACATCCAAAATGTATTATTATTTTGTATGTATAATGAAAAAAATTATTTTCTGGAATATGTTGTCACAAACATTTCACTTAACATAAGGTTAGCTTACTCATGATTTCAAAATGCACAGATTTTATTCATTTTCCAATAAAGTGTACATCCGGGCAATATAAGAATATTGACTTCAAAAAAATGTGAAGTCACCAGTTTAGCTTTCAAGAAAATGATGGTTGTATTTTAGTGAATAGTGGAAAATTTGGCAGTATTATATTATTATATATTCTGCTTTTACCTGCTAGGTTTGTATGGCAGAGATAATATGCTATATCTTAAATTGTAAGCTGATGACAAAATTATATATTCTGCTTTTACCTGCTAGGTTTGTATGGCAGAGATAATATGCTATATCTTAAATTGTAAGCTGATGACAAAATTATATATTTTGAATGATGGGATATTTTTTAAGTGTTAAAAATTTAATTTTTCTTTTTTTATACATTGTGCTCTATGGAATTGTTTTAAAAATAGCAATTTTTGAAAAATATTAGGACAAGTTTGTCAAAATACGTCATTGTAACACACAAAAGAATGCTATTTCATGGTACCATGATTTTACACAATAAACCAATGAACATTGTTATGTGATTTATGACCAACTTCCTCAAAAAGAGTAGGCTTCTACTGTAAGGCCGAAGGCTCTATAATTTTAAACACCTTACCTGTCAAAACAGTTTTGAGCAGTCTGAGCAATAAATGAACTATCTGCTATGACCTGAGCCATTCTACCCACGGCTTCACCAGCAGCACATCGTAGAATTGGATTTGAATTAGTTAGTGCACTCTGAAATGAGACAATCACATAGTATTGTAAAATACTAATCATCACCATGTAATAAATAAATGTTTTTGGGGAAGGGAAACTAAATGTACTGTAGGATTCTCTTATTGTAAGATTTTATCAATGCTGGCCTTAGATAATGCATTTACATTGCACATGTCCATATATATAAAAAAAATTTGGAGCATAATTATCAATATTATAATAATAATTTATCAATATAAGCAATATTCTTATGAGAGACGACATCAGTTAAAGTATTAGCACGATGTAGCCAGTACTTACCATGATTAGATTATTAGCAGCTCTCTGTACATCAGCATTTTTCAATCTACCCTTTGCTTCAGCTAGGCCCTAGAGGTAAAAATGTTTACAGTGTTATTTATTTATTATTTAGAAGGAGGAATATTAAATGGATTTAATTTTAGCGGACTTGATGCATGAAGGATCTCTGGTTTGTGAAAGAAACAATACATCCTATGCTTAAATTAACACGTTCTCATTTTAATTTTAATTAAAATAGTTGAGTACATTATGAGAATGTGAATTCACCAAAATAATGACAGGAAAGCCATCATTAATTACCTACCTTTAGCGCACTAAGTACAGCGGTGAATATATTGATCTGTACAGCTTGCTGTCTGGTAGACTTGGCTTGTTTTATACACTCCCCAAAATGTTCTAACATCTGTAATCTATGCTTGTGAGCAACTCTAGAAAACACTTTACCAAACAGTATTACAGATGCATCGATAACTGCCACACCCAGTGGTAATGGTCCAGGAACTGCATCTCCCTGTCAGCAAAATAATTTGTCATTATCACCAAGACACATTTACACAATTATCCCAAGCAATCTTCATAATTATCTTCCAAGCAATCATTTTATCCATCGATAAAAATACTGATTTATCATTTATTTCATGTTTTTGATGTCAGTTAGTCAATTCAATTCTATCTTAAAAATGAACGCATGTAAGTTTCACATGCATTGCATCATGGAAAAGATGCAACGGTGACATTTGCATGAATCAAACAATAGCTCAAACTTGTATTTATACACAAGATGGGCATGTTTAGATGTTTTGAGTAAACAACTATACTTCTATACTAAACCATTGGCAATAGCTTAGGCCAAATGTTATTTAAAATTTCTATACAAAACACATCAGCCACACAAAATTTTTTTTTTACGCATCATTTATTCCATGAAAATAAATACTACCTAGTATTATTCTTTTGCATGTTCAAGTATGAAGACCATCAACTTTTTTCATTATGATCAATGATTAGTTTCACCGTATATTTTGTAAGCTCTTCTCATGAAAACATTTTGTAACATACAACACCATCAAATGCAAGCCAAGAAGTCTAGTGATAAACGATGAATACTGAGAATTGTACTGTCACTACTTACCACTGCAATACGTAAGTATATTGATGATGGATCATGTTCTAAAGCACCAGAACCAGATGCACTATTGGGTTGTAGCTGCATTTCAATAGATTTATGATCAGTCTCTTGTAGCCATGACTGCAGTATAATACTATCATCCACATGGCACATAGAACGTAGTGTAGACGTTGTTGTATTGGCTGGATTGTCTGTCAGTGTAAACTCTGCTACTAATTCTCTCAGAAGTGAACTTAGACTTCCTAGAAATGAGATGAAACAGTGGGTGTGTCAATTCTTGCTAGTTTTACATACATCCACTGTACCACCCATACTCTAGCAGAAATAAATGAAATATACTATGCAAATGATATATTACTAAGTTCTAACATTCTACCATTTTAGTGAAGACTGACAATGTAACATGCCAAAAATTCTAATTATACATTTTAAAATTATTTTACAAATGTAAGTTTTATGAAAATTGGTATACTGTACACAAACAATAAGTGAAACATGTAGATTCATTTGTTACATTATTTACCTTCATATGACTGTGGTGGTAGCAATGCCAATGTTTCATACAATCGTAACCTGACCATAGCAGCACATGCTTTCAAATGTGCACCATACATCTTAATAACGCCAGGAATACTAGACACAAAATATAGGAAAACAAAATTGATGAGAATCAGAAATGTAACACATATATCATTTCCCTGTATGATACAGTATATTAAAACAATACAATACAATTGTGACTAAATTTGGCCTCAGAATCTAGCAATAGAGTAAGAAAAATACAAAGTACAACAAAAAGTACTAGAAGTAATGGATGGAGATTTTTTACTCTTAGTATATTGCAGCAATTTTTGATTAGCTGCAGAACATACATTTACTTGGTATTGCCTATTTGAAGTCTAAGAAATAAGACTGAAAACTGCAAGGCCTTGCATAGACCTGAAGCCACCTTGAAGACTTGTTGACTTACTTAGCCATCATTGACATTGCACAATCTAGTGGGGTCATCAGTCTTCTTATCACATCGTCTGTCACCAACTCAGAACAGTGCAGAATAAAACTACGCATTGCTGAAAAAAAAAAAAATAGTAATTATACGTCTTTAAGCTGATACAAGTGATTTTAATATCAAGATTTGATTTCACAAAATAATCATGATTATGTAATGAACAGGACCTAATGTTTTTATGTTACTAAAACATTGTATAGTATTTTTATTGCATATCCAGTATTTAGTACATATTATTATATATTATATAAAAATTGCAATTAATATCACATTTGCTATATTACACGCAAATTACTTGCATAAATGCCCTATTAAAATTAATTTCACTAAATTAATATTTGTGCAAATTTTCTGGGTTTTACCTAAAATAATTATAAAATTGTCTACTCTCCTACCAATAACTCAACACAAAGTCTTAATAGTTCAGAGGGTCATTTCAGTACTGCAATGTGAAGTATGTGTTTAGAGACTGAAGGAAAGAGACAAGTGAATACATACAGCATTAACCTTTATCAATGCATTATAATATAATGGGTGAACTTACTGCAGAGTGCTCCTGCCCTTCCTTCCAGAGTTACTTGCCATGTAAATGCATCACCTCTAGCTTTCTCTGAATCCAACTCTTTAGCTGACCTAGGGAAGGCATTCCTCCATAATAGTAACATTTTTGGTAAATGCTGCCGTACAACAGATGCACCTGTTTAAAATCAATACAATATAACAATTAAGTGTATCTGATTGCAACACCACTTAATGCATGTCTGTCAATTCCTGTGTTGATGAATGCTCATTTACAGTGTATATCATATTTCTTTATATCCATCATTTTTAACAAGGGTAAAATAAAGAACTCACCCAATGTCATAACAGCACCAAGTATCAACCATCCAGCCTGTGTTCTATGTAAGGACATTCTACTATTCTGTGAAGCTGTCCTCAATAAATCCTCTCCAATATTGAATATGGCCTGGAAAGAAAATTATTATTATTAAAAAAGCTGTCACAGTACATGTATTTCCATTAATCACGGTACCATAATTCTGCGGTATTGCACAGGGTATCTGCATTCTATCATATTAGAAAAGGCAACTTTCAAATAAAGAAAGATTATGTGACACTAAGATGATAGGCAATACAATGTTCATAATTAATTTTCATCATTGTCTCAGTTCTGGGCTTCTTATACATAATTTTTGGATTTGGAAGAAGTATAACACTATGGATATTTAATACTTTGATGGCCAACAAAAAGACAGTACACGGTCACACAAAACTCCTCTACATATCAATCAATACTGCTTTCATGCATAATTTGAGGTATCCTCGTAATAACTACATATTCATCATTTCATCCTTGTATGAAGCCCTTGGCATGCTTAGGGTATCAAGCTTTGAATGGATCTTGTCTCCATAGAAATATTATGTAAAACACTCTGCATACTGGTGAAATCACACCCACCTTGCCCTTAGCATGTGGGATTCCAAGAGCTGACTCGTGTACGCCACCCAATAGCGCTGCTAATGCAAAACTATATCCGGATACAGCTTCCGGAGAAGCTTTGAGACTATTGATCCTATCCGTGCATCTATCCAGCAGAATAGTCAACTGTGAGGGCAGTGCAACTGCTATACAACGCAGACACCATGCTGCTCCAAGCCTTGCTGATGGTGCTGGATGTAATAATACAGATACAACTGGTTCCACAATTCCTATAAATAATGAAAACATACAAAGACCTTAGTGCCTACTATAGTTAAAAAAATTTACTACTACATATATAAAGTAAGACACATAAATTTATTGTATGTAGAATCAAATGGAAGTATGTTTCCTTCACTAATACACATGCCATTTCTTAACCATCCACCAATAGAAACCATATACTTTGGTCTATTATAGTATCAGTGTATATAGGTACATACATAATTGTAACTGACAAGAGATTATTATCCCTAGACTCACCTGAAGCAGCCTCAGCTACTAGGTTATTAGCACATGTGCCAAGTCCCTTTACAAGACTACCTAGTTCCTGTAATGCACACACTAGTACATGTTGACTCAATGCAATCTCATTGTTACCACTTTTACTGTCAGTGGATTCCAGGGAATCATCACCTGCAAGAGAACACAGACAAGAGGGACAGATTAGATCATAACACAATATATTTAAATTGTGATTTCATGCGCAGGAAATTCATAATAAAATTACCAATTATCTTGGATAACTTTTGTGTGTTGTGTAAAATGTTTTTATAAACTAAAACAAGGTTATGATAAACATTAATTCATTTCAGTAATAAATTTGTAAACTTACTAACTAAATTCATCTGTTTTGTAATAATAACACATATCTCTTTAGCGGCCGACATCTGTGCTTTCTCTCCAATCATACCACCCAGTAGAGATCTCAGAATAAACGATACACATTTCCTAGCGTACACAGCATCTACATGTGAAGGTGATGCTCTAGGATGGGCTACCAGTTCTAATACATGATTCAACACTGTAGTAATATTTCTCTCAAACCAAAGACCTCCCATAGTGTTCACGAAAATAACATACGCCTGGAAAGTAATACATTATACACTGTACATGTCAGATTCAGGTCATATAGTTGTAAAACGAAGCAGAAAACTAAACTGATTTAGATTTTAAGTTGTAGATTATTGAATTCCTAGAAATTTACAACAAGTCAACATAGCAGTATTTAAATTGACAGGTGCTAATCAAAATCACGAAAACCTAGCACAAACAAGCGAAACAGAACTTGTGCAATATAATTCAATGAAACTCATCAAATTTCAGTTCCTGGATGTCAAATTTGATTTCGTAACTGTGCAAATTGAGTCACATTATTGACTCAAATGTTACACATCACAATTCCATTATTACACTACATGTGCTAAAAACATTACATTTTGAAATCTACTGGAAATACTGTAAACCTATTAATTTTCACTGGCATTTATTTTGATAGTTAGAGCATATTGGGCATATAGGTTGCAAGTTCAAAAATTTGTCAGGGAAACAGTTCTATTGTTATTTTACATATTTGTTTTAATTTATGAATTATACATACAATGTATCAGTGAAAATCACAAACTTAAAAACGCAGAGAATAATTAATATATTTACAGTAACAGTAAATTCAGGAGCAATGAGAAAGATATAGACACACAGTAAAATGGAAGCTTACCTGAGTGACACCAACTCGTATTTCTCTATTTACTGTGCCTCCTTTCAACAGCTCACCACCTCCGCCTTTAAGAAATCCAGACCCGCCTTTTAAAAATCCAGATGCCAAAATATTTAACACCTCCTCAGTACTGGTCTTCTTGACTTTGGGATCTAAGTGGAGAACCATAAACCAGTTCATATATTTATTATAGCCATTATACTGGGGTAGTGAGACTGATGATCACATGATGACTTCATTATAATTATCACATATAAGATGACATGTACATACTTGTATTTCAAACTTGAATACTATTTTTAACAAAAATATCAGTATACCCACACCTTAGATATGCACATTCATAAGACAAAACGCAGTTATGGCTGTTAAAAACATGTCAACTTAACTTAATCAAACAAATAAATCATAAAAATAATGTACACCTCAAATATCAAAGCAATCGAGATGGTAGTGTTGAAAAGAAGTTGAAAATATTATTTTTTACAAAAAATTACATAAATATTTGCCAAAAACGGAAAATTGATGAAATCAGCACAAAATGAACAAATCCACTTATTATGCAAATTAGTTAATTAATATGCAAAAACTAAAGAGGTCTGCGCATTGCATACAAGTACAAAGTTTAAATCAAAACAGCAGTTTTTCCAAATATCAGTGGAAGAGATATACACACATACACACATGCAGAGCGTAGATGCAAAACCCCCTTTGTGTCCTCACAGTTTTAAGCTTTTTTTTTCATGCTAATGATTGTTCTTCTTTCCTCCAGCAAATGTATATATTGGCCTACATGTAAAACACACATTGTTGTAAACTGTAGTGTGATAATAATATAATAGATGGGGCTAGTCAATGTAAATTTATCTGTAATAAATTTCATCTCAATCCTATGAACAAGCTACATATTAGAACCCAAACTAATCATATCTGGAGATTAAGTATCAATGTCTGATGAGTAGTTTCTTGCCATATAGGTGGAACAGCCAGGCATAGACAGACAGACAGACAGAGTAACTCAAAGGCACCCTGTTGTGTGACTAAACATTTTAAAACCACAATACTCCTTTCCTTTATTTTCATTACAGGAAGCTGTGTCTACCATGCAAACCATACATGCAAGTGATATACATAATGGCTAGACTAAAACGCCAATCCTAAACCAATTACAAATATTCAATGCACTGTAATTTGAAGGCAGAAAAGCTAAATATCAGTAAATACATATAATAAACTATTCTATTCAATTACACACAATACTACCATGATTGACTATTAATTGAAAAGGAATGCAGAGTGACTACAAAAAGCTTTTAATATTTAAGTCTCTAATTCTGTATTTACGCATATGACAATAATACTCACAAAAGTAGATTAAAACATTATATTTTCATAAGGTGACATATTAGTTCCAAGGGTTGCGTGATATCGAAAACATTTTTAAATCACATTTACTGTTGCAAAATCTAATAATTCTGGATGAATGTGGAACCCTGGGGATTAAGGCTATTTAAGGAATCGTGACCACCCAGTGGAAATATGCACTGTATTATACTACACTCCCTCTATGATAATACAATAACAAGGGAGTGTATCCAGCATTTAGAATGGCGAGATATGAGCAATCGTCAATGGAAACTGTAATGGTGATTTTTTACACATTAAAATTAAATTGACCAGTATGACCAATAGTTAGCAATAAAACTTGTAGTGAGTGACAACCCAGCTGTTGAAACAATAAGTTAACCGTAGCCAATTTTGTGCTACAGACAGGATTCACTCATTCACAAAATGAATGTCAGAATATAATGATTCAATTATTTCTTATGACGACTGGAATTGGGATTTAAAAAAAACATTAAAATTATATTAGTTTTGTGTGGTTTTATTCTTATAATGACCTAGAAATGACAAAATTATTACACAGCCCAGTCGCTATTACTTTTATAATGTGGTAATATGACAGATAGCAGAATGGCCGATTAGAAATGGAAAATAGAAGTACCGATAATAAATTCAAATCTACATGTAGCTCATTAAATTTTACCAAGTGCATTTTTTTTCATGTAATCACTACAAGCCCAGAAGTTAGGAAGCTTCGGATTCAAGTTAACCAGGAATTTGACTTAATAATTTAATTTAAAGACCATCAAATTTATAATCAAAACTAATTAACAATATCATACATTATTTGCTTTGGTTCAAAACAAATTGAAATATTTACAATTTGAGGAAATTACAGTAATACTGACTGTGCTAACCACACTGCTAATTAGAATGAGAATACCTAATAAATAGTTTATGACTCATATCAGTCTACAGAAGCTTGCAACTAGACATACTTTTACACAAATGGGGGAGGGGGGTACTATTATATTATTGCATATAGCAATACAATTTTCTATTTCATCATGGGGTGTAAATCTAGTCTTATGTGATCTATGTAATGAAATTATTATAAGATCGTGTCTATGTCCTTACGTACATAGTTCAAGGTAAAACAAGTAGTTTGCAAAATTCAGGTGAAAACCTCATTAAATAGTCAAGCGAGGAAAAGAATAAATTGAGTATTAAAAAGCATAGAATTATATTACCAGTAATAATTTCAGATACTTTTTTTAATTTGAGTGTAACACTATAACTATGTCAGCAATGAACGTAATGGTGAATAACAGCTTTGAATAACATTGATTGATAGATAATTGTCAAATAAATCATTAATGGCATCAAAACTCATTTCAAAGTCTTCAAAATCTGAACTGTCAATATAGAGATTTTTTCAGTATTCCCAGCTTTCAACAAAGATATCATTGGTTCGATGAAAATGATTATCAATGTTTATCTCACTGATAAACTGACAAAACCAGAGTCGTTAAATGAGGAATTAGCCCTAAATTATAACAATTGATGAAACAAGGAAGACATTTTGTATTTGAACTACTGCATTTTATTTCAGATATATTGAGAAGAACTCGATGAAAGTAAAAATTTATTTATTTAATATCATTGTAGCCATATAGTAGACGTGTATTACAAACCCTGCCTGTGATGTTATTAAGCTGCACGCCGACATGCTGACCTTACAGACTTCCTGTCGGCATTATGGCTTTCAAGCACAATAAATTACAATACCAAGACAAAATTCAAGGAAAGATAAAATATCAATTTATGTATATTCCTTCCTTGATTTCGAATACAATTAATGCCTAATGACACAGGTAAGTTATAATATAAACATTATTATACTGTTATCTTCAAGTAGGAAGTACAATGAAAATACTACATGTAATTTATTTATGAATCTATAAGTACATATTTGTTAGCAAGATTAGTTTTTTTAGGGGTTCCATTTTAAGCTGGTTGCTAGCTTGGCTGCATGAATGGAAGTGTGGACAGACATTATAAAACACTTTAGTGGTTTCTCTCAATAAGTTGCAATATTGAAATTCAGTGAGCATTCCAGTTCATTCAATGAATGCAGTATGGTGTTAGTAAAATCAGGAAGTCAATGCACCACAGGGCAAAACATAGCGACAAAGTCAACAAAATAGTCTAGCTTTTTAATCAATTTAGAGCACAAAACGCTTTTCATATTAAACAAGGTTACATTTTAAAATTCAACATTAAAATGATAATGTATGCTGGTTCTAAGCACTAAATCATTACAAAATTTACCCATGATTTTTTTTTCTTTGAGGAACTCTTTCCTATTATACAGCTTAAATCAAATGATTTCAGCCACAGTGCATTTGAAATACTCGTGACCAGACAGTAAAATAGTTTGCTTACACCTGCCACAAATATATTCAAAAATTGTTTATACAAGTATAGAAAGATTCAAAGCTGTAAAAGTCAATTTTTATCATTTTTTATAAAATCAACATGCATAATAACAAATTATTGAAAAATACATAAAAATATGCAAAATTAGGAGGGAAAAATGCAAAACGAAAGAAAATTTTTAGTCTGAAGTATAAGTTGTCAGATTTCATCTGAATACACTTTGTCATTTTCATAGGACATCTAAACATGTACAAATGACCTTGATTTATTTTAAAACCAATGTCAGATGTAAACAAATTACCCCAACTCGAGCCAACTCAAGCAAGTTTAGCTCCCTGCTAAACCCAGAGATATGTGTACAAGGACTACACCATCTAATGACACCATGGCCACATACACAAAATGGTTGACAATGTATGAACAGAACTCTGATTTAGGAATATTTGCGATCAAATCTACTGCTTATCAGCATCTTCATGTAGCAAAAAGGCATTAAAGATATACTTTATCTGTTTTTTCTAAAATCAATATACAGAAACAATTAGAAAAATATGCATCAACAGAATATATTCCCAAGTTTAGTCATGATATAAGAAGAGACAAACACGCATATGAGGTGGCACTTACCTGGTGACCTGTTAGTCTGTGATGTCGCCATCAATACACCTAGTACTTTAGCAACGGCACATCGAACGTCGTAATTAGAACTATCCAATGCCCGGAAACACTGACTGGCTAGATTTTCTAGTTCAGTTGTATAAATAAATGGAGCCCATTTGATCAGTTCCAAAATGCACTGGATAACAACACAGAAATATCAAATGGTAACAAATATATATTTTATTCACATTTGGAAACATGTTATAGAGACACATTGGTAATATTTGAACTAATTTGTGAGCTAGTTCTAACAGCAGTAGAGACAGTTCAGTTGCTACTGTAAGTTGGAAGAATTAGAAACGACAAAATTCTCAAAAGCAATTAGAAACGAAAACTCATATTGGTGAATGAAAGAAACTATTTTTAACTTTTCTCAAAACAAATCTGTCTCGTCTTTACAGCGGTCACAAATGAGATTCGTATGGGTAAATGGCAACTTCCTTGGAAAAGTCCTTATCAGTGTTCCGATACCCAATAACCCCATCAACCTCCCCCAGATGGTTGAAGTGAACACAAATACAAATCGTATAGATAATAATAAGAATAATAAGAAATTAAAGCCGCAAGCGGCGTCACCGGGGCCCAAGCTGATAAGATTCTGTTTCATAATTAATGAGGTCACATGTTAGACAATCAGGTTGCTCTTATTATCAGTAACATGAGGTCGAAATGAAGTTGGTACCATGTATTTACCTGCTTTGGTTATCGAAATATGGTTT